CCCCCTACGAGCGCCAGCCGGGGAATGGGAGTGCGAGATGAAGTGTTGCAAGATGAACTTCCCGGTTGATGTGATCAGCTGCAGGGGGGAGCCCCCCCCGGTAACTGACTTGTTGCCAGGGGGGAGTGAGGGGGGGGCATGTGTTCCCCTTGACTAAAGTGGTACCAGTCGCTCAAGCTCAGAGCTGCGCTAATTAATGCGCCCCCCCATCCCCAACCTCCTGGAGCACGTCTACAAATGCCCTTAGCCGACAACTTCAAGAAAAAGGCTTCCCAAACCTTCAGGAACAGTTGTGAATAGTTGTATTTTACTAACAGTGTCTACTTTGACTATTTCACAGATTCAGGTTATAAAATTCATTTTTTAAATTAAAAAGTAATTAAACATTGCAAACAGTAAAGAGGACCAAATGAATGAATGAATCCTGAATTAAGCTAAGTCAGTTTACACTAACTTGAGGATCTGGTCTAAGATTAATTAGTAAGATTATTTTTGTAAGTGAAAGTATTTAATATTATTTAATACTCCCTTCCTCTAAATTAATGCTCTTCTATAATCTCCAATGTTTTTTCAGGTATACATCAACTTTCAGACGCACCAGGAAATGATGACCAGCTGTGCAACATGAAGTCTCCAGTCTTCAACTGTCCTTTATAATCAAATACCATGGTATTTACCCATGCTACAGGATAGTGCTGTTAAAGGAAAGATATACTTGCTTATTTAGACAGAAACTAAACAAATTATTTAAAATTGTAAAATGGTAAATACTTCAAGATTAGAAAAATTGCTTTCTACATTTAAAAAAAAAGTATGATTTATTAGTAAGACAATGCCTCAGTAGATTACTTTCTAAAATTTATGACTGTGTTGGAAGGGTACAAAAGTTTTTAAGAAACCCCATTTCAATGGAATATTCCTTGCCTATGTTGGAAACTCAAATGTTTCAGCACCGCTCTACATACAGAACCATATACTAAAAAGTAAAAGGCAAAAAAAACCTCATCAAATTCCCCAAAGTAAATGAAAGAATTATAAAAAAAAAAAAATCAATTTTTAAGACAACAGAACTTATATTAGAGAAAAAAAAGAATGAAGAAACAGTGAACAACAGGCATTAACAAAGAAAGAAAAAAAATCTTGTGCTATGACTGGGCAATATATTAAGAAGTCAAGTAAAGAGATGCTTGTAAATACATTGCCCAGTATAACTGAGAGGTACACTACAGGCAAATAAATCAAATCATTACCACTTTTCCAGCTTTCCTAATGGTCTGATATTTGGAAGTATTCATTGTCTTGGTTGACTTCTTAGTTTTCATTTTGTCCATCACGGCATAAACTGCAAAGCACAGCCTAGCCATTCTTGGCAAGTCACAAACATTGACTTCAAATTCTAGGGTTTCATTCCAAACGTGGTCACTTCTCCCTGATACTTCTGTACTTACAATAGGCTTGCAAAGGAGCTCAGTCCCATGGAAAAGACCAGCCCTGACATTAACCTGTAACAGAAAAGCATCCATAAAAAGACTTTCTAAAAATGCAACAGAACTTTTATTCAAGAACACAAAAAGCATACACTCTCATGGAAACTAAAAAGATTAATTCTGGGAGGAAGCTGGGGGGGAAGGGAAACAAGATCATTTTGGGGATGTCTTATTGCTGGTGTTCTTTCATAGCTTGTGACAGGAGGCTTAAGTCAATGCTTTCCAGTTGGTGGCCCACAGATTACACGTGGCCTGTGAGAGGCTGAGTTTTGACCCATGGGGCTCCTCCAGCAGCAGCTTGTCAGCACAGCTGCTACAGTCACTGTGGCAGGGCTCTGGAACTCAAAGGATGAACACTGATGCTACACGTCCCTACACCCACTCGTCGCTGATGACTTAAATCAGTGGCAGCATTCACCCAACAAGGTTCCAAAGCTGCACCAATGCAGCAGCTCCAGCAGCTGTGTCTGCAAGCTGCTGCTAGAGGTGAATAGTCTGACCTATAAGAAGCCCCATGGTCTGGATCTGGCTCTCAGGGGGCCAAATAAGTTGGACAGCCCTACCTTAAGTATTTACATTTAATTTCTACTCATAAAATGATGTCTATTCAGTTACTATGAATGAAAACAACTGAGATCTTTTAATAGCTGATTATTTCTTAAGGTAATCATGAGGGAAAAACCAAGAGAGATATTGGGGCAGGGAAATAATTGTGGAGCTTTTTCTTAACAGGAACAGCAACGGCTTATTTGCAAAAAGGAAACAAATCCCAGGTGAAAAATTCAGCAAAAATGTTTCAAATGTGAGATATTTCAGATTTTTGAACAATAACCCAGGGTAAAAAAAGTTAGTGATGGCATCCTGGTCATGAGTTCTTCCCTTCAAAACCTACCTACAAACAAGTTTGTTTTCTATTTTTCTTGCATAAATTCAAGATAAGCTAGAAGTGGTCCACATGCAGTCAGCATGCTACATCAATACTCAACCATGACATCTGGAGCCAAAATGAAAGGATCACTCTAATATCACATCAGCAGAAAATCAAAACTGTCTACATGAATTTATATTGAAGGTGTAGAGACATAGTTAAAAGCACAAAAAGGGCCACCATGACTGGGATGAACTCTAACAGGTTAACATACTTATTCAAACCTATTCACGTCTGAAGAATTGCAAAGGAAATCTTAAAAGCTCCCTCGTGAGATTTCTGGCAATCCCTTACTTCTGTTCTGCTAAGAAATACCAGGACAACAGCCTCTCCCACAGTATTATGCCACTTCCTTTGCAGCAGTTGAATATAAACAGAAATGTTATTGTTACAGTTTTTAAACCAAACTTAAAATTGACCAAATCCATCTGACCTTAAAATAACAGAGTTTATTTTAAATTTCAAGTAAGAGTTAAGGCTGCTTCTTTCTTTATCGAACCAATTTTTTTCTCATTCAGTTTAAAGTCTATTGAAAGATCATTTTAAAGACTGTCTGATAAGTTTTCTGGTGATTCCTTACTTCTAGTCCAGAAAGAAATATTAGACAAACGTAATATGAAACCTGTTGTCCCACTTAAATTTGTCTGGATGCATTAAGGGAATTATACCAAGGTAACTGTTCAGGTAGAATTCCAGACACTTCAGGAATATGAAAATTTGCAACTATCAAATGGTCTTCATAGCGTCACATTCACTGGATCTCTCATGTTAAGGGCAATTATTACTTCAAATAGGATATTAGTGTTCAGTGATGACCACATATTAATATATATGAATTCTCCTAGATTAACACAACTTGTACTGAAGGAAATAGTAGGAAGCAAACAACTGAATAAAAAGTAATGAAAATATAATCTCTTCGGTATGTAAAATGGAGTAAATTGATCTTTAAATCCTTCAATATCATACAAACCTTTGAATGAAACATAAGGAAAGAACACTGATGAGTTTGATAATCCTACAAATGGAGCACTTTCGGTACCATTATAAGTTATCTGAGATGATATTTTACACCCATATTCCAGGTGCAGTTGCTGTCTTTGATATAGAAACAGGCAAGATCAGTACTATAAAACCAACTGAAAAGTCAGACTTGAAGTTGGGGGGGAGGAGGGAAGAGGGAGTTGCAATGTTCTCTTACAGTAACACTGTCTTAAAGATCACAAAAATGAGCAATTAGAATAAACTGAAAAACTTTAGCATGGATATGTTCCAGACAATTACATTACTAGATACTGTAAGAGAAATAAAAGGAAGAATGAAGAAGCAATCCATTTTGACATCAATACAAGAAGACTGGTTGAGGCAGAAAAGTGACTGAATTACACAAAAGAAAGTTCCTTACTACTTCATATTACATTCAAATGAAACTTCAGAACATGCAGTCCAAATTACTGAAAGTGCCACCAGAAGAAGTGAAGACATATGAAAGGGGGGTCCTTCAACTTCTACTCAAAAAGAGAGAGAAACATGCAAGTTTTGGGGGGGCAATCTCCACTGCTTCTCAGAAAAGGGGAGGTTGTAGAATCTCCATTACTGAAAGTTTTAAGCGTAGTCTTGGATAGTATATGCAAGGATGTTCCTGCCTTGAGGAGAGGCCAATTACATGTCCCCTTGAGATCCCTTCCAGTCCAATTTTTCTATGGCTGTGAAAATGAAGATGTCACATGGAACTACTTATTCTACTTATACCTACAGACAACATTACCACACTACTACCAAGATGGCTCAGCATTTCAAAGCAGCTGGCTGAAGCAGATACTGAACAAGGCTGCTATTACATGGTAGGAAAAGTAAAGCACTCAGACATTTGCAGATCATTTTGTCTCCACTGGAGGAAGCGATACATCTACAATTGGCAAATTCATTCTGTTATTTAAAGAATGATTTGTTTCATTCTTCACTGACTCTTAGCAGTATCATCAAGTAATGCCTTCCACCATGAACAGTGGCCAAGGACGGAATAAGTGATCCAGGCTTTGCTGGAAAGATCTTAGTTATTCTCCTGCTAGCACTGTAAAATATGATATACTTGAGTTTGAGGCTATGAGCCCTTAGGAAACTCTGTAACACTTTCCTTTTCTGCAACACTGTCTTCTAATTGTCATAGGATCATGGAAAGAAGGGCTGGAAGGGACCTTACAAGGTCATCTAATTCCAGCCCTCTGCTCTAGGCAAGATCATCCCTGACTCAACCATCACAGTTAAGTCTCTGTTCAACCTGCTCTTGAAAGCTTCCAAGGACAAAGATTCCACAATTCCTCTAGGTAGCCAGTTCAAATGCTTGATGGCCCTCACAGTCAGAAAGTTCCTCCTAATTTCCATCCCAAATTTCCTCTGCTGCAGCTTGAAGCCATTGCTCCTAGTCTTCTACCTAAAAACCACAGAGACAAGGATATCACCATCTTCTCTAAATCCCTCTCTCAGTCCTCTCTTCTCCAGACAAAATAACCCTTTTTTTTCAGCTTTTCCTCATAAGCCTTTCTTCTCAGACTCCTAATCATGTTTTGTCACTCTATGCTGGACTATTTCTAATCTATCCACATTCTTCCTGAAGTGTGGGGCTCAAAATTGGACACAGTACTCCAGGTGAGACCTCAGCAGCGTTGAGCACAGCAAAAGTATCACTTCCCTTGATCTGGAAGTGACATTGCCATTAATATAACCCACTATGTTGGCTTTTTCCTTTTTTTTTTTTTTTTTTGCAACAAAAACTCATATTTAGCTGATGGCCTCTTACAACTCCTAAATCCTTCTAGGCAACACTGCTGCCTAGCCATTCATTCCCCAGCGTGTATTTGAGCGTACAGTTATTATGTACCAAGTGAAGGACTTCATTGCTGAATCTCATCTGATTGATAACAGACTATTTTTTCCAGTCTGTCCAGGTTATTCTGGGTCCTAGCCCTCTCCTCCTCAGTGTATGCAACTCTGCCCAAATTGGTGTTATCCACAAATTTGCTAAGTGATGATGAGCTGCACATAATCCTATCATCCAAATCATTAACAAAGATGGTGGACAATACCAGATCTAAGAAAGACCCTTGGGGAATGTCACTTGATACCACCTTCCAGCTATATATTCAGTCACTCATTGAGTACAATGATCCAACCAGTTATGTATCAACATTACGTAAAGCATCTAGCCCGTCTGCTCCTCTCTACAAATTAGAAAGTCAAGTTCAAGGCATCAGGCTTTAATTTCAAAGTAGTCAGTACTCTGAATCTAGCATATTCAAAAGATCACTTATTACTCAGAGATAAACACTGCCATCAATAGTGATGCGCTTTAGCCATAGTGGAACTTTATAACAGGAATTCACCTGTGCTCTACTGGGAACAGTCTGCGACTGAGGAATTAATTCCCAAAGGACTTAAAGGACGAGGACAAACCTCATTCACTTTCTACTCAAATGCAAGGCATTCTTTTGACTTCACTTTCCTGAAACGTAGAAGTATGTACATTTAAAAAAACAACAAAACATCAACATCCAAATAAAAAACATTGCATTATGCACAATGCTCCCTCAGAAATAATCTCCCCAGGATTAAGTCCTGATCTTAATCACACAACTAAATCACAACTAAACCACAAAAGATGGAATTTAGATATTACAGTGATGTGTATGGTATGAGAACCTATACAGAACAACAGAAGAGAGGTTGATAACATTGCTGGCACAATCTGGTGTCCACTAATTAAATGTTTTACCAAACTATGGCAGACAAGATTACCAAACTACAGAATCTTTCCACTACATAGTCAACAAGGCTGGCCACAAGCACAAAAGGTCATAGATTAAATTTAAACAGAGCCCCCCACAAAAACCCCAGCTTTGCTGAATGCCTGCCCAAATAGGAAGGTCTTACACCCTTGCTGAAAGATGTCCAGGCACAGTGCGCATGTGTGGGCAATGGAGGCAGAGGGGAGGGATGCTCACTGCACATGTGGTGTAGGGTGGGAAGGGAGAGGGGGGATTGCTGTATGTGCACGCAGTGCAATGGCCACCCACACAGTGCAACAGCTACCCACAGAGAGTGCAGCAGTGTGGTGTGAGGAAGTGTGGCCCGGGGGCCTGTGGTTTGGGCTAGAGGGTCTTCCAGGGCATGCAACCCCTGCTAGTGCAGCGTGTACAGCATGCAGCCCCTGGCTGCTTAGAAAGTTGGACAGCGCTGACTTTATACATGCTAAGTGTATTTTTTTGTTCACTGTTCAGCAGTAGGTCTCTTGAGTAAGCCATCATGCCAATGAAATAGCAACTAGATGAATTACTGTCTTAGTCTACATGAGTATTCACTTAATTATACGTCAAAGAAAATAAGGCAAATGTCTCTGAAATAGAACAGCATGCAAAGTGCCTTGTAAGGCCTTTTTGTAGTTGTGTTGGATTATTCAATAAATTCCCATGTGTTAACAACTTGTGGTCTGTAACAGTCATCTATATTTTCATGGAAAGCACTGTCACATTTTATTTTTCTATTTTTTGTGTTCAGCATGTTTAGAAAATAGAAGACTAGATTGCAATACAAGCACATGAGACACATAAGCCTGAATTTAATCTGCAATTTATTTAACACTATTTTATTAAATGTTCCATTAAAAATGAATTAATAATTCATGTGGTTAATGTCAGGTGTACATGCATCTAAGTCAGTGGTTCGCAACCTTTTTAAATTCAAGATATCCCTTGGAAAATTCTAGCTTACTTTTCACTTGTTTTCTCACTACAGAAAAATAATAAAGCAATTTCTCTATTGCAAAAATCAAATGCTTTTACTCCTCTGAATCCCTATTTGAAATCTCTGGGTTTACCTATGAACTATATTTGCACATTATGGTTGACAATCACTTCTAAATCAATATAGCTCCATTTGACTGAATATCTTTTATTTGAAACAATTTAGAGATAGGTACTCCCCTAATAAGTAATTCATCTTGTTAACAGATAATGAAACATCACATACAGCCTTAATTTATTCCTGACTGTTAACAGGGTACTAAAGTATGCATCTACCTTTATCCACAGGTCTACTCATGTGCCTAAAAATTGGGACTACTCAGGGTACTGATACAAAAAACATATATAACAATTTAAAATAGAGAGGGGCTAATGCACGTCAATTTTTTCTTGGGTCTGTTCTATCCCAGTATAAATGGAAGCTAAACTATAGTCATTTAGCAAGTGTGCTTTCAGAGGTAAACGGTCTTTATTCAGATTCCCTTTACCATGGAACTGAGTGGACACATATTACAGTACAGCAATATCACTACATCACAGCCACCCAGATGTCTCACCAGCTTCTGCTCAACAATAAAGCTCCAACCACACAATCTAAAGGTGTGTGCACAAGCTACTTTTTTGCCGTTTAAAGTGCTTTATTGCTGTGGTTAACAGAAGTGCGTGACTTTACAGCACTTCAAAAATGGGTATAGTGCTTTCAATTAACCCCTGTTAAATGAGGTATTAAATCTGAAGTGCCATATTTTGCAGCACTTCAGCAATTTACAGTGCTTTAAATAACTTCCATACGCTTGTCAAATTTGACCAGTGGAGAAGCCCCAGGAGGCTACAGAGCACCCCCTGCCTCCTAGCTTGGAAAATGCAGGGAGGATCAGAAGCCACCCCCCCATCAAGCACTGTACTTCTGTCATGTTTAAGAGTGCTGTAACTTTATATGCTATAAAAAGTGCTCTAAATTAGTTCTGTAAAATGTGCATGCAGCACTACTCTACACGTACTAAAATACAGATTAGATAGCAAACTGATCTGGAGGAACATCATTTTAGTATGCCATACGGAATGGATGAACTTGAATAAGTCACTTAAAGAACAGCTGAACTCTAGACATGCACAAAACAGATGAAGCATTTTTGTCCCACAACCAAGTTACGGGTGCTGCAGCAAGGACATTGCTGCAGCAATAGAAAGAGCCATCGCTTGGTGCATGATTCTGGAAAAACATCTAGATAATGACAAGGATGTGAAAGGAAGAGTCCCACACTGAATGAAGTAGAATTGTTTCTTCTGTCCATATCCTGAGGTGTCAACAGTTAGGCAACATGCTTAAGTCCTTTGCTGAATTGAAATCTTTATGAGTCACCATTCAGTAACTATGTTGGAAACCATTAAAATTATTAGCCAAAAATGTCATCATACTACTTACTTTGGCAGTTTCCTCTGTGTTCAACTTGTTACCATTTAAGAGAATAATCTTGAAAGGGTTGCTAACATCCCAAACACTCTGGGTCAGCTGCTCAAAAAGAAGCAGAACAGTCAAGGTGTATATATATAAATATAGTATAGTAGTACTAATACTACTATTACTCATAAATACACACACACATATACGCTACATTATACACTCACTTAGGCATGTGTGCAATGTAGGAATTTTACACATTACAAGCTTTTGCAATGTTACTGGAAAAATCTAGAAAATATGGCTAAATATTTAAACTAACAAATAAATATTTTTAAAAAAAATTAAGGCAGAATAATTGAGCAATAAAAGACAGCACTTAAAAATGGTCTAAACAATATATTGCCACTGAAGTATGTCTGAAATACATTCAGTACCGGCTACTGAACATTCAGAATAATAAATGTTACTTCCCATAGATTTCCCATAATCATCAGGCAAATGTAAACTGTTAAAAAATAAAGAAAGAAAACACTTCACAAAATATTATCACTGAATAAAAGTCTATCTTTGTTTCTAAGGATGACACTTGTGGAAATTATAATCTTATTTGGTAGTACAGGCTCCCATTAGTTAGACATAACGTCAAGAACCTGTAAAAATGCCAGCGTTTGTTATAATGGCAACACCATGCAGAAAATGCACGTCTGAAGTAGACAAGGCTCTTCTGAGCTAGTGGAGACAACACGTCTACTGAAACTGAGGAAATTAATAGGGCTGTGCAAAGCTTTGGTCCCCGATTTGATGTGGCGGAGATTCAGCCTGATTCGGTGGCCAAATCTCCAAATCCGAGTTGAATCAGAGGACACTTTAATTTCTCCAAATTGAATCTGAACCCTCTAAATCAATTCAGAGAGATTCAGACAGATGCAGCTTTAAATATTTTTTCTACATACCTCAAGGTACCAGGGCGGCTCATCAACACTATGATGGTGGAGCAGATGGAGCGTCCCACAAGTGAAGAGGGTCCCCAGCACACTCAGCAGCAGATCTGGAAGTGGACCAGAGGTACTTCCAGTCCACTTCCAGGTCCTCCAGGGAGTGTTGGGGGGGGGGGGCTCCCTGCAGCCCCACAGCTTGGTGGCTGGTGCTTCCTGGGTCTGGGGGGTACCTGGGGTCCCCCCGTGGCCGATCACACATCTGGGAAGGTGCAGGGGTGAGGGCTCCCCCACTGCACTCCCCAGTGGACCCAGAAGTGGACCAGAAGTACTTCTGCTCCACTTCCGGGTACACTACTGAGCATGCAGGGGGCCCAGCCCGCACTCATGTGGGACGCTCCATTCACCCCAGCATCGTGGGGTTCAGGAGCTGTTCCTGGCACCTCTAGGTATGTAGAAAAAACATTTAAAGCTGTGTCTATGTCCGAATTGCTGATTCTCCAAATCAGCATCGAATCTTGATTCGATTTGGCCAAATTTGAATCGGGAACAGTGCTCTGAATCAATTAATTGAATCACTGTCCCTGATTTGGGCCAAATCCAAATCCAATAGGGTCCATTCTGCACAACACTAGAAATTAGCTATCCCCTCACAGAGCTTCTTCAGCAACTAATTTCAGATGATCCCTCTTCTTTGCCTGAATGAAAAAGAGTTATTGGAAAAGGAGAATTGCTTTCAAACACAGGGTATGAACATAACCTTATTTGAAAAGGATAAGAAGTAGAGCCTACAAGGCCTCCAGCCCTGATGTAACTTCTTGAGCAATTGCAGGTATTGCCCTGCAGACAGCTGTAGTCTGTATCAGAAAAAAGGAGTATAAGAGGAAAACCATATGTAAAGTCCCATGTCTCATATCCCTCAGAATGGTGCATTCCTTTATGTTAACTAAAATATTCAAATCAACTTACAGTAGCTGTACGTGTTTTTTTTGGTGGCAGAGGAAGAGGCAAGTTGGATGATTTTCGGTTTATGGCAGCTTCTATGGCAATCATTTCCTGGTCACACATTTTCTTTATGCTACAACACTCAACAAGGGTCAGCTGAGGAAGAGTCCTGTTCATCACGCAGTTACGGATATACTGACATTAGACATAAAATGGTTGGTTATAACATTGCTTTCATTGTTTAAAATTACTTTAGATTATGATATTTAGAAAAAAGAGCTTTGGATATGTAAGAGCTGAACTGAATTAAAAATGGTGAGCAATGTTTCCTATGCTTATTATTAGATAATTATTAGCTATACCTCAAACTTTCCTATTTCCATTCCAATTTGCAAAACCATAATCAAATCTACTTTTCAATCTTCCAGTGCCATCCTAATCATAATACTAAGTTCAATTTTAATAAACAAATCAAAGTTTTGTGTAGCAAATAGATTTAATTTAACAAAAAAAAAAATCTTTGTAATGTTTTTATTTTGACATCAACAGTTTCTAAACTAAGCCAATCAGCTATTTAAAGAAATCAACTTTTTGGAATTTCTTCACCATATTTGAAAAAAGAAAGGAGATTGCCTTGAATACTGAATAGAAAAGTGTTCCTACCTGGAACTGAATTAATGGTTGATCACCAAAAACATATTCCAGTCTTCCACTAACTTGCAACACATAGTCACTTGGATTGATTTCCTCATCTTCCCTCCCACGGATAGTCAAACGTTTTCGGATTGCCAACTCATTCAGCTTGATAGGATTTATGTTAGGAGATACTTGAAAACTAAATACATCCTGATAAGATAAGGAAATGTTTACATAGCTTTACATACATATATATTTAAAGTAGCATTTAATTTATTACTTTTTATGGCGGGGGCAATATCAAA